ATTTCTGCCTTCAATCCCCGAATATCTAACGGAAAAAATATACACATCCACTTTACACACATACACACACGCGCGAATTAGATTTTCAAGCTTTGCGTGAATAAATGTGAGGTAATTTTAACGGCCCTATTTTATGGCATAAATGAAAGTCGATAATTAATAAAAGCTCTCTTTCTCTCTCGCCTTCCCCTCCTCTGTCTTTCTCTCTGAAAGCGGAATGAACGTACAAACGGGGAAAAAGATCGGACAGATCTGATTCTCTAATGAATAGAACGCGGTCCTGTTTATTCGACTGCGGTCCGCGATATATTTTAAATATACTGATGTCGAGTCTATTGTACAAGCGATGTTTATTTCATCTCTTTAGGGTTCATTAATTTCACTTGCATTTTGCGAGAGCTCTTCGCGTAATTAGTTGACGGAGGTACATAAAGAACAAAAGATGCGATTACGGTCGGACAGGTACGAAATAAATGTGACCTTACATATATAGCTTCGTGTTTTTCAACGGACGATTGCGCTGCAATAACTGTCAACTAAAGCTTATAAATTTTGTTTTTTTTCCCTCTGACAATGTGACGCGCGTTGCATTCGAACGGAAAGTTGATAAATATAAATACTTTTATACCACGCTTATTTAAAGTTTATGCGATTAAAAATCAGTTGCAACAACAGTCTAAACTTGACGAGTGATGATAATTTGTCAGCAAGTGATTTTAATTATTTGCTGTATTTATCTCTAACTTATTATTTTAATTATGATATATACAAAAAGAAAAAGATTGATAAATACGATAATTAATACCATAGTCTTATAACACTAAAAAATTATAAATAGGTTATCTAAATTCGGTTTAACAGTTTTCCTTTCTTGATTAGTTCTATGGCGCATAATAAAAGAGTTTGCTTAATTAAAATTTAATTTAATTAAATAACATTGATATACAATATGATATTTTGTCTAAATCTTTGTAGTAAACAATATCGATATCGATACAATCGTCGATATTGACGTTAAGTCATTCGGTAATGACGTACTTTAACAGAGTCGCCAGCTTAATTTCAAGCATGCAAAACACACGGTCCTAAATTGGTTTAATGAATGCGAGTAGGAACGGGAATAGAGTCGCAACCAACGGTGACGTCGGGCATCGTCACGTCGCATTTTCAGGGAGAAATTGCAACCGCTCGGAGACGTTTCTAAGGCGCGATTTACGGAGCGAAAATAAATCTAGGTGCGATTCGTTATCTTGAGGTTTGGTAGAATGTCGGAGTCCGCAAATGGTAGAATTAGGATTGACAAATTCGGCTGTCGTCCTCGCGGAATGCGGCTTCCATATCAGAAGCCGGTAATTTTCTTGGCTTTACTAGTACGCATTCAGTTGGACATTGAATACGACGACAGTATTGTTAATTTTCCGTCGTTTATCCCGTAGACATTGATTATAATCATCCTTCTTCGTATAGATCGTCAGAAGTAATTCTACACGGAAACTAAGAAATCTTTGGACTGTTAGGCTGTTAACTAAACATGAAATCTGTTTAAAATCATATTGCAGAAGTGATAGAAATAGGATACATTTTTTATTCTAGTTTCTTTTTTCTTGTTCTTGATTATACTCTCCCATGTCATAAAGATTGCCGGTTTCAAATTTTCAACAACTCGTCGTCATTCAAGCCTGGAAAAAAAATATGAAACTAATATGTGCTAACAAAACGTGATAGATTATATATGTACGATACATTTAACTTTCGGCTCTTTCAAATTTCGCTTTTTCTTAATAGTTGATTATTGATTTGCAGACGAAAGCAAGATGAGGTGCAGGTCCTCGAGGAAACGATACGGATGCGTTCGGAGAAACAGAAAAAGGCCGGGGTTGAGCTGAACGCCACGTGTCACATATGCCTGAAAACCAAGTTTGCCGACGGCGTCGGCCACATCTGCAACTACTGCGACATCCGATGCTGCGCACGCTGCGGCGGAAAGGTCACTTTACGGTCAAGCAAGGTAAGAGGGCACGGGCAAAAGGAGTACGCGAATAAACGGCCGGAAGAATCGTGGGGGCCAGATTGATCGAGTTGTTGCGAGTATCTGTCCCGACGCGTGCCACTTTTCTTTCCGCGTATTACATCGCCGCACCGTGGAGAAACCTTTTGAAGGCCTCGGCGTAAAAAGATCACACGGGAAATAAAAATAGAGAGATACCCATCGGCGTGTGATGCCCGGCGATCAAGTTGATATTAACGCGTCTGATGTAAATAATACCCTCGTCGAGCGATACAGAACATATGAGGGATATACATCATTTTAACAAAATAACTAAAAAGAAAAAAAGACACGTAAAGACCGAAAAATGTTACTTTGCGATGCAAACGAGTGTTGCTCGAGGCAACATCTGAAGTGTGGAAAATAAACTCATTAAGCCCGCACTGTTAGAACGGACTTTTTTATGAATGTATAAATATATAAAGATAAAAAAATATTGTCGTCTTGATTTTATCTTGAACTTTGGCGTAGTACTTTTTATTTTTCTTTTTTATTTAGCTTTGTTCCTTAGCAAAGAAACAGGTGAATAAGTGATAAAGTCAACACGAGTTTATCGAATTTATAAATCTCGTGATACGAACAATTTATTGATTAGTGATGTGGTGAACAACACAACTCAAAATCACAGTTGATTAAATGCGGTGGATTGTACGGATACACCTAGCCTTTGCATGATCTTCAGAAAGATTTGACACATGCAGCGTACCGTTCTGCTCCGCAAATTAGCCTCGCCGTCGAAACGTTTCTTTTTTTTTTTTGGTGCAATTTTTCTCTTCCGTACTTCTCATAAAATCTCGACGGCCGGTGTGAATGTGAAAGCCAAGCCCCTCGTTCTCCGGTCAGACAGAAATTTCGCAATTGCCTCATTAAGCGCGCATGTATTCCGCGATGGCGGAGATAATGTAAGAAGATAACGCATGATTTGATGGAGAAGGGAAGGGGAGGGGGAATTTAGCTCGGACAGCGTTATCGAATCGCAACGAAACGAGAGGGAAACGTTGGACGGACAGTGATACGGGAGCCGCGGCAAATGTCGGGTTTTCTGGGAACAATTAAGAGCAGGGTAAAAGATAATAATCGGTGAGTATCGTCCGAGGACGCTTACAGCGGAATACGTCAAAACAATTGACCTTACGGTAGCGCGTCATCATCCCCGTGCCGGTGCGTCAATTAACCCTTTATCGCGGTATGAATACGGTATCCGTGGGCGTAAATAGCCGCCACGCGGATGCTCTGTCTCTTTATTTCGTCGAGAGTCTATTTCGCCGTTTTCGACTCGCTTCTACTCGCGCAATTTCGATCTTCCGGATTTTCATCCGTATAGAGATGAAAGATTAACGTCCGGCGAGCGGGACGTAACCGTATATGCAGTTCGACGCGCGCGGGACGAACGCCGGCGGGTGTGCTTTTAAAACTTCGCTATTATCCGCGCCCATCACATTCTCCGAGATCCGTACAGATTTTCGCAAACAGAAACTAACGCTCGTCGAATTTGCACCGTATACCGTTCTAACGCGATTATCTACTTGCGCAAATATTATTCTTATCTCCGCATCGGAGTGGTTACGTTCTCGTCCTCGCGCGGTATTACAATATCGATCTACCATATTCGAATCGTAGCCTTTCCGGCGTAATCCTTGTACTAATAATATATAGAAGTAACATATGAGATATATTCTATTGGTTCCTCGTACGGTGTAGTAACTATGTACTATTTATTACCGTGTCGCATACGCAAGAATGTGCGATATACGTTTAAGTATGCCGTTGGAGATATTTCACTTATAGGCGTACATAAGAGGCAGCTGCAATATATATATGCGACTTATGCACGCGTACGAACATAAATATAGAGATTTGAATAAATAGAAATATAATATTAGATTTCTTCCTTATTATTTTTAGCTTGGAGCACTGATTTTATCGATCGCCGTGTCTTCTGGCTTTATTTAATGACCCAGTTTCGTGACAGATAATTTACGGATTTAATACCGAAATAATTACTAAAAGGAAATCTAGAGAATATTTCTGGGTATAATACGCGCGGCGCGAATCACACGTTTCGCCTGCCGTGTGTGTGTGTGTGTGTGATATTTCGCGCAGGACACCTCTTTACTGCGAACATGTAATAGCTTTTATCTTTCGCGAGCGCCGCTGCATCTTTCATCTCTTTCAGCGCGGAGACAGAAAGCTCCATTTTCCGGATTATTAAAAGTAATCCGGGCGCTGATCAATGACGCTCACGAGCGCGCCCGCGTAAAATTTAACGGCGCTCAGGCACGGAAATGTCGGGCGCGCATAAGCCTAGGCGGACACGGGGGTAGGTGGGGTGTTTTGTAGTAAACCTCCCCTCCCGCCGCCACCCCCGCCGCCGCGGGTTGCACACGTGCGCGCACGCTACGCACGCACGCCTCCGTCATGGCCGCACGCAAGTACAATGACAAACGTCATCGTGAGCGAGCGTCGTTACATCATCGATCCGCGCCCGTGGAAACGATGGGGGCGGTGGACGGGAACGGCGGGACAGGGAAATGGAAAAGAGGGTTCTTTCTTCGTTTCAAATGAGCGGGAACTGTCCTACTCCGCAATCGCGTCGCGTCGCGTCGCGTTGCGTCGACCGTTTAATTGCGTCCCGTTGCGAAAACAACGAAATTACAGAGCTATCTAAATGTCTCACTTGAAGAGAATCGATACCGACCGCTCGTTTTATACGCAATCCGTAGCGATTTACTCGTCCGACTACGTCTGTGCGTCGTCGTTGTCGCCCGTCGGTCGTCAACGGGTTTCTTTCTTTCCCTCTGTCCCGTTCTTTTTTCCGTTCTCGCGGCCTGGACGCTGCGTGGGAGCCTATGAATGGGGCGCGTCCCTGCGTGACGTCACTCGTCGCGCTGGTTCACATGGAGGGAGTGGGTGCCGGGGGTGGTTGGAGCGCGGGGATGCCGGAGGAGTGGGTGGCTGGGTGGACGGTGAGACGTTGGGCGGTGTGCGAGGTAGGGAGGGACGGGGGGGTACATGACGCAACATATTGATCTAAGTTTGGTAGGGAGGGTGCGTGGTAGAGGAGCACGGTGGAGGTGGAGGAGGCGGCAGAGGGTGGTATATAAGGGGAGTGGAAGGAAGGGCGGAATAAAATATACGCTATCCGTCAAATCTACGCTCTTCTGGGATTTCTCGATGCGCACAGTTTTACTCAAGGATCGTATGTTGTTCTCTCGAATTACGGCGGCATCGGGAAGACGGCGAACTTATAGATAGTTCGTCTGTCGTCTGCCGTTCGATGCCGAGGCTACCGGGTAGACGTCGAAGATGACATTTGCAAAGAGAGTCGATAAGAATGAGGGAAAGAAAAAGAGGGATGACGGAATAACAAGATCTGCGACATTATGAACAACCGTTATGCGATCTACAATGGCAATCGCGACACGAAGATTGGCATCGAATTGCTAGACAGAAACAATCTCTCTTGGAGAGACGTGTCGAGCACTTGATTACTTCTTGAAATAAGTTCCTCGAAACGGAACCGAGGAGCCTTGTTATTGCTTACGGGATTTATTTATGGAGTGTTAGATCTTACTCATGAAACGTGCTATTACAATATAGATCCTAACTATGTACTGCAAGCGTACCTAATATGTTATACGTTATCTATTTTTATTATCTTTTTTTATCTGTTTGCCTTATTTTTACAATTGAATTAATTTGCCAGAAAATATTTAATCGAATATTTTTTCTTGTGAACTTTAAACTCTAATGAATTAAGAAAATGTCTGAATAAGTGTCTCGTGGACGTAAAGAGCAAAAGCATTCCTGAATGAAACGTGATTTGCAATACCTAAATGGCGATGTGGAAAGCGACGTCATAATAAAAATGTCGATGGCTAGAATACGCGACGTTTACGACCCATTCTGCGACCATTTTGTTTATCTACGCTTCGGGTTGCAGCTCCTCCGCTGGAAATCGACTATACGTCCGATGATATACCCCGCGATTGAAACGCGACTTACACATGCTCGCGCCACGAAATCGGTTCTATCGAATACTTTATTATCGCGCAAGCACAGACAGTAACATAGCGGGGAATCACCCCTGCGAGATTTTGCGTTATTTAGAAAGACACGAGGTAGTTCGGGAGATATACGAGAACGACGCAACGAGAACATGTGTATAACGTTAAAATACTTGTCGACTTCTCTATTTTATCGTTTTCCATAATCTATATTATTGATTGCTGGCCACTCTAATTCCGATCGTCCTTATTTTTCATATCGCAGAATTGTGCAAAATTATGTGCGATCTTGTACGGTCCTTTTCCTGTCTCGTGCTTCTGTTATGCTGGGTCGACATTGATAACGTGACTTGCTTATTTTTCTTGATTAGATGTGACTATGTACTTTCTTATTTTAAGATTATATTAAGGAAGATAGACAAAGAGAAAAACGACTGAGACAATACTCCCAAAATATATTTTTTAATACAAAATGCAGTTGCAAAATAATAAGAAATCAATATCGCGGACGTTAGCTTTTAAATAATTGGTGGTGCTTTAAAAAATGAATGTGTTAAAAAATGACTTGAAAGAAAAGCAAACATTTACACGAATTTTAATATCATTTCGAAACATTGTTATCACTTACGCTTTTGGCAAATTTCGCTACGTTATTTAAAAGCGCCGATGTTAAAAATAAATTTATATATCGTTCTACAGTTTTGATGCGATATTCACGGTTTTCTGCAGTTCTCTACTTCGCTTTCTTTCGCTCGAAAGGATTGGGACGGATGTCGTAATATATATTACAATGATCAATAAATACTTTGTTCTTCGTTTATTTTTATAGTCTTTTGATGTTGCTAGGATTTTGCTTCTTTTCTTTCTTTCTTTTTTTTTACAAAGAAATCTGGAGCATCGATGAAATATTTCTTAGAGAGTACTCGGATCCTCCAAACTCTTTGATAAATTTTA